CCTTCTCTGGACTCTCTCCAGGTTATCTGCATCCCTCTTGAAGTGCGGCGCCCAGAATTGCACGCAGTACTCCAACTGCGGTCTGACCAGCGCCCGATAGAGGGGAAGTATCACCTCCTTGGACCTATTCGTCATGCATCTGCTGATGCACGATAAAGTGCCATTGGCTTTTTTGATGGCTTCGTCACACTGCCGACTCATGTTCATCTTGGAGTCCACTAGGACTCCAAGATCCCTTTCCACTTCCGTGCCACCCAGCAGGTCATTCCCTAGGCTGTAGGTGTGCTGGACATTTTTCCTCCCTAGGTGCAGCACTTTGCATTTCTCCTTGTTGAACTGCATTCTGTTGTTTTCTGCCCACTTGTCTAACCTGTCCAGATCTGCTTGCAGCTGTTCCCTGCCCTCCGGCGTGTCCACATCTCCCCATAGCTTTGTGTCATCTGCAAACTTGGACAGAGTACATTTCGCTCCCTCGTCCAAGTCACGGATGAAGACATTAAAGAGTATCGGTCCAAGGACCAAACCCTGTGGGACCCCACTTCCCACACCCTTCCAGGTCGAAACCGACCCATCCACTACGACTCTCTGGGTGTGACCCTCCAGCCAATTCGCCACCCACCGGACTGTGTAGTCATCCAAGTCACAGCCTCTTAACTTGTTCAGCAGTATGGGGTGGGATACCGTATCGAAGGCCTTCCTGAAGTCTAAGTATACGACATCCACCCCTCCTCCTGTGTCCAGGCATTTCGTAACCTGGTCATAAAAAGAAACTAGATTGGTCAGGCACGATCTGCCTGCCACGAACCCGTGCTGGTTTCCCCTCAGCATAATTTGTCCTGCCGGGCTCTCACAAATGTGAGCCTTGATAATTTTTTCAAAGACTTTGCCAAGGATGGAGGTGAGACTGACTGGTCTATAGTTGCCCGGGTCCTCCTTCCTCCCCTTTTTGAAAATGGGGACCACGTTGGCCCTTTTCCAGTCCTCCGGGACTTGGCCCGTGCACCACGAGCTTTCCAATATTCCCGCCAGTGGCTCTGCAATGATGTCGGACAGTGCCTTCAGCACCCTCGGATGGAGCTCATTCCCACACTCCAGTCTACTTCAGGTACTTCACCACCTTTTGTTGACAAGTTTTTAAAACAGATTTGTGAGACAGTTTCAGGGATAAAAAATAAGGATCCTGTTTCACCTTTTAAAGCAATATTAGGGGAAAAATATCAGTAGGTTTGTAAAGAATTTTGAATTCTTTGAATCCCTTAATTAACATTTCCTGACTTTCTTCCCAAACTGAGTTCAGGATGGATACTGGGCACATGAAACTTGTGACAAAGAATTAGGCTACATTTGTAAAAGAAATCCACTGCAAGGAGCTCCGGGAACAATACAGAACACCAATCCTTCCTGCCCAAAAGTAAGGACAAAATAAAATCTGAGTAGATTGGTGAAAATAGTTAATTGTCTTCAAAGAAACTTTGAAAATAGCCAGCTATTATGGTATTTTTACCTAGGAATTTTTTTGGTTTTTTTGTTAATCATTTTCTATCTTGAAAAGTATTGCTTTATTTAAGTTAAATCTTATTTGAATCCCCTTTTTAGTTTAGTTATATTAGCCCCATTTGCTCTTAGTGCTCCATTTGGATACAACAGAAACAATTTTTGTAGCTTTGGGCAGAATGCATCATGTTTATTCCATGTTATGTGTGTAAGTGGATTTAGAACCCTATCCTATCCTGGTCAAGTCCTCAAAAAGAACATGATTTCAGATGTGAGTGTTACAAGCATAGGTGCAACAAGCAGGGACATAAACGGGGTGGGATAAAATTGCATTTATGCTCTTCACTCCTCCTCCCAACTTTATTTAATAAAATTAACTGTTGTGGTCCAGAGCCCTCTGGCTGGAAGGCAACAGATGTTTTACAAAGGCTTAGCCTCCAGCCAGGTGTAATATAGGGTAGCTCCTTAGTAGAGTAGGAAATAGTATGTCTGTGAGAGTACTACCCCAGGAGGGTATTGACCACAAATATTTTCCCATCATTAGTGCAGAGTACAGCAAAGCCAGCTCCACAGGTTTGTGCATATAGGTGCAAGTGAACCTACCTATGTGGCAGTCTAGCATGCCACATATAGTATTAACCTGCATTAGCTTCATAGTGACTTTGTTGCACATCTTTCTCCCACTGCTGAGTTTCACACCAGAATAGTGTTGTTTGCAGTCCCCTTCAACAACAGCATATTCTCCTGATCTCCTAGCAATCACAATAATAAAAAGAAAACAATGTTGCAGTCCAATAGAATAATATTTAGAAGAAGAAAGACATGGAAGGCAGTGCAAATCACTGAGACTAGTAAAGCTGTTTGAACCCCACCCCTACCCCCACTTTTTCTGGCAGCAAATAATCACTTGCTATTTTCTGTACAAAATGTTTTCACAGGAAAATTTCAAAATGAAAGTAGGTTTTTTTTTCATTTGCAGATTAATTGATAATTAATTTTGATTCAAATCAATATTTTCAGTATGACTGCAACAGGAGTCTTCAGTTTTTCACTTTCTAAAATCCGCAAAACATTTTTAAATTGATTTTAAAACCTTTATTATTCTTTTTTTACCACTGTATGCAATAAAATAAATGACAACTCGACTAGTATTCTTTTCACTTTTCCTTTTTTTTCCCGTTTTTCCTTTTTCCACTCAGTAACTTTTCCAAAATAACAGAAGTTTTGAAAATATGTAGTGTGGAAGATGAAAAAAAGGAAACTGGGATAAACAAAAGGATATTTCATTCTTTTGCTTGGAGGGATAAAACTACACTTTTGGGTAAAATGAATTTTTCATCTGAAAAATTTTGTGAAAAAATGTTCAACCTTCTAGTGATTCGTATTCAGCCAGATAGAAGGTTGAGCATCTTATGGTATGTACAAGTATTATCTTTAGATTGACCTAACCAAGATTAGGTCAGTCCAAAGGCACCTATGCTTGTGATGGACCTTTATTCTGATGCATGCTAATTAGCATGTGTCAGAGCAGACTCAACTGAGTCTGCTGCAAATCTGTTAGAGCATGCTAATTAGCGTGCTCCAGCAGCCTCTTCATCACATGTATAGGGTGTCCCCATGTTTCAAAATTAGCTTTAGTTAAAGTGTTCTGGCCACCATTTTGAAGTGTGGGACACTGAGTATGCGTTATGCTGTGGGCACTTTAATTAAAGTGGCTCTGAGAGCCTCTCTAATTAAAGCAACCCCCTCCCCCCTTCACTCTGGAGCATGTGTGTAGATGCCCTACATGTGCAGGTGTACTGACATTCACAGGGCTGAGGCCAGCATAAAAATGACATACCTGATCTAAAGTTAGTTCACCTCAGAAGTGAACTTGGTTTCACCAGATGTAAAATGGAGTAACCTAAAATGGCCTAACAAATGCCTGTACATGTTCATAGCACAGTCCCAGGGCTGGGAAAACTCAGCCACTCATTACAGCCCCAGGTCTGTGCTGTTCCTCCCCCACAGGGTCATCTTAGTGCCCTGACTACCTTTCCCCTGATGAGGAACCTCCACTATAGACCTACCACCATCCTCTTTGTACCCACCAGCTCCTCCCCCACCTCAGGCTGCCTGTACCCAAAACCTATAAATACTTGTTTGAACTTCTAGAAACTAAGTAGTTCAGAGAGGCATGTTCTTTCATAGGCAACATAGAAACCTAATTTATCAGATGCTACTATTCAACCAGACATCTTCTCACTCTAAGTCGGAGTCAGAGAAAACCCTGATCAAATATTCCCATTCATTTTGAGGTATTGGTCTTTCAACATCAGATAGTTCAGAATATTTGAGTCATGTTTTACAAAAAGTACATACTCCCATTTTCTACTTTGATCAAGGAAACATTTTGCTTCATTAATTTGTTTCTTTTGCTGGATATATTTTCTCTTCTGAAACATTATGTAATTTTAAGAAATAAATATTTACCAAGTATTTATAAATTTATGATCACTTTGTTCCATAGGTTTGTCCCTGTTTACTGTGTATTGTTTTTGTGTTGTGTCACATCATATTGTATTATGCTGTACTGTCTGGTTTTGCATTTTAATATTGTATGTAAGTAGAGTGAAGCCCATGTATAATGTCAGTCTTGTATTAAATTATGTTCACACCTGGTGTTTCTATTGACAGGGTTGGAAAATGCATGGATTTTACTGTTATTTAATTGGATATATAACTGTACCATTTTGGGAGGCAAAGAAAACCTGTGAAAGGAGCAATAGTCACTTAACAACTATACAAGATAGGTATGAAAAATATCTTTAAAATTGTGCTGTTAATGGAATAATCTTAGATTTTTCTAAAATACTTGTGAACTTTAAAAAAATCAGGTAAAAATGGCCTGAACCAAATCCAAAAATATTCTGTTTAATAGGAAATAACATAGAAAACATAACCTGTTTTTTAAAACTAAATATTACATCTTGCCGCTCTTGCCAATCTTGTGACTATGTTTGCCAATTCTTCAAGGTGCAAGAAACTTAAAACATGTGTTGCTGTGCTTTTAAAAAATTGCATTCAAGCAGGAAAAAAAAAATTTTTGTTTGGAAAATTGCTCTTTTGCTTTACCTAAATATGACCTCTGGTTCATAAAAACAATTTCTTCAGTACAGTAATACCTATTCTTGCTAGTTCTGAGTAGTTATCTAGTTCAATGAAAAAACAAGCTTCTAGAGTACATTCTAGCATGAGGATACTAGAAGCTGATAGAAGTTCAGCAGCAGGAGTATAGAAGTTTTCTCTTTCTTAAGTGGCATTACATGTGTTAAGAAATGATAGTGAAGAATACAGTAAGGTAAGCAAAACAAGAAAGCACTTCAGCACAAAAGCCAGAATGAAGCCTAGAAGAAAATGAAGAACCTACAACAGACTTCTTTTACTGGATGAGAAAGAAGATTGGAGGAAGGAACCAAAAAGGAAGGAAGGTGGTGACTCCCTTCTTTGGAGGAGAGATGCACCAACTTGTCAGCCAGATTTGGGGTCCTTGAAATGCCAAACTCGCAAAGCTTATCCCTCAGACCACTACCCTTTCCTTCTACCCTTTCCATGTATGCACCACTGTTACTTCCATGAGTGATACTGAACTGATCAGAGGTGACTGTGAGGCTCTTGGCAGGAGGGATAAGAAGCTTGGAGCACAAGAGGTGTTCTCATCAACCCTCCCTGTGCAAGACAGTTGACCCAGGCAACAACCATTGCATCCTGGCAGTAAATTCCTAGTTGAGACAGTGGTGTTTACAGGAAGGCTTTGGATTATTCAGCAATGGGCAGATGTTCTTGGGAGGAGGGCTGCTGTCAAGAGATGGGATCCATCTGAACAGAATGGGAA